CTGTTCCTTGGAATTTAGCTTTACTTACACAGCTGAGGGTGTGAGGCTGGGTGTCAACAACCACTGAGTGGCAAGGACAGCAGGAGTGGAGCGGGTGGTGGTAGATGCCCAGGAGTGGGCTAATGCATCTTGGTGAACTGGGCCAGTGGACTGTGGATCTGATTCCTGTTGGCGTGAGAGGCTGTGAAGGGAGAGAGTGAGAGCTAGCCTAGCAGATATGAACCCATCTGACTTAATATTAACACTGATGGAAACAAGACCACTGAGGTGGGGAAGCCACTGATAATTGTGGTGTTTTTCTTTATTTGTTTTGGTTTGATTTTGGCACTAGGGATTGAACCCAGTGCCAAGATTTTATTTTTTATTTTATTTAGAGACAGGTCTTGCTAAGTTGCTTGGGGCCTCACTAACTCTCTGAGGCTGGCTTTGAACTCGTGATCCTCCTGCCTCAGCCTCCTGAGCTGCTGGGATTACAGGTGTGCACCACCTGCCCGCCTACTAATAATTGTTTTAACCTGCATAGGTTATATTATTCAAATGGTACAGAAAAGTCCTCTGCAAAGGTCTCCTTCCTGCCCATCTCTGATCTACCCCAACCCTCTACTTGGAGATGGTGGATGTCACCGGTGTCCACTGTGTCCTTCCCCTGAGATGCTTTAAAGCAAGGGTAAGCCAACTATGACCCACAGCCCAAATTGGGCCCACCACCTAATTTTGTATAATCCATGCACTAAGAATGGTGTTTACATTTTAAACAGTTGGAAAAAAAAATCAAAAGAAGATGGTTTCGTGACACGTGAAAATTAATATGACATTTGGACTTCGGCTTTCATAGGTGGCGTTTTGGTGACGGTCATGCTTGTGCATTTATACTCATTGTCTCTGGCTGTTTCTGTTTTACAAAGGCAGAATTGAGTAGTTGCAAGAGTCTGTGGCCCATGAAGCTGGAAATGTATCATCTCATCCTTTACCTAGGTTTGTTGACTCTAGAAATAAAACAAATAAAATACAGGTAGTTATAAATTATTTTTGACATAAATGGTAGCATATTTAATGAATTCTACCTTCATTCACTTTCCCTTGGAGCCAGTACCATACCAATACTGTAATAAAATAAAATCTTTATTTTTATTTTATTTTTTTCTGGTACTGGGGATTGAACCCAGGGGTACTCTACTTTAGTCCTTTTGATTTATTTTGAGTTAGGGTCTCACTAAGTTGCCCAGACTTGCAATCCTCTGGCCTCAGTCTCCCCAATAGCTATGCACCACCGCCCCTGACTTAGAGTCAATTTGATTTTAGACATGCTGGGTTTAAGGCAAAGACCAGTTATCCAGAGCCTGGGTAGACCCCTGGAAATAAGTGCTCAGTAGGTGGATGGGTTCATGGTCTAGAGGCTTGGAGCCTAGGAGTGGAGATCTGAGGAACAATTGTGGGGAGGTCTTCAGTGTGGATATGCCTGTGACACTGCAGATCAAAGATGTCCCTGGACAGAAATGAAGCACTGTTCATAGTAAACTGTGAAGGTTAATAGGTTGACAGAAAGACAGTGAATGAGGAGCATTAAACTAACCCTGAAGGAACAGTAAATACGAAAGACAATTGATAGTTCTCTTCTTGATTCAGAAATAAGCCAATAAGAGGAAGTGTTGAATTGTGAGCAGAGGAGAGCCATGGATATTTGTAGAGTGCCTACTGTGTGTCTCCTGCCGTACACATGGTCCTCACCACTATTTTTTTTTCTTTTGTACTAGGGATTGAGCCCAGGGGTGCTTAACCACTAAGCCACATCCCCAGCACCCTGCCCGCCCCCCCCCCCCGCTTTTTAAAAAATATTTTTTAGTTGGACACAATAGTTTTATTTAATTTGTTTATTTTTGTGTGTTGGTGAGGATCGAACCCAGGGCTTTGCATTCTACCGCTGAGCCACAACCCCAGCCCTCCCCAGCCATTTTTGTTTTTTTATTTTGAGACAGGGTCTTGCCAAGTTGCTGAGGGCCTCACTAAGTTGCTGAGGCTGACTTTAAACTTTTGATCCTCCTTCCTCAGCCTCCGGAGTTGCTGGGATTACAGGCACTCACCACCGTGCCCAGCACACGGTCCCTTATTTACCTGTTACTCTCTGAGGTTGTATCATTAACTCATTTTACAAATGAGGAGATTGAGGCTCAGGGAGGTTAAGGGACCTTTTTCTCACATCAGTGAGTGATTCAAGTGAGTATCTATTTGCAATAAGGCCTCTTCTTTCCCTTGTATCAACTAAGGTACCACCTTGGGCTGGGAGCCCTCCTGGGCTTTGCCAACCCATTTCTGGTCCCAGCTCTCTCATATGCAAAAGAGGCATTTGTCACCGTGCCGGCTGCAGTCTTTTCCTGTTCTCACCTAGCCTGAATCTATTATGGGTGAAAACATAAGGGAAAGAGATAGTCCTCTAAGAGTGAAATGCAGAAAACTGGAAGAGGAGAGGAAGGTAAGTTCAGCCCTTTGTATGTATCAGACCCAGCTCTCTGGCAGATCCTTAGAGGACAATATTTTTATTTTTTTTTAAAGAGAGAGAGAGAATTTTAATGTTTATTTTTTAGTTATCGGCGGACGTAACATCTTTGTTTGTATGTGGTGCTAGAGGATCGAACCGGGGCCACACGCATGCCAGGCGAGCGCGCTACTGCTTGAGCCACATCCCCAGCCCCATTAGAGGAGAATATTATTCCTTGATCTGGAGGAAGATTCTGCAGTCTCTGTGCCTAGGCTGGGAACTTGCCTATCACCCTCATTCCACAGTCCCAAGCTCTGCTTAATTAAGTACCTGCACTTGAACTGCAGGAGGCGTTGGGGCTGGAGAGCAGTGGACAGCGCTGGGCAGGTCTCTGGGTGCCTGCGCTGTGGCTCGCTTTCCGAGGAGCTGCAGCTAGGGGGCTGTCTGATGTTACCGAGGAGGAGCGGCGGGGTGGGAGCCAGGGGAAGGCGAGGGCGTGAGCCATCAGGCTCCAGGAGCCGGGGGTGTGAGTGTGTTTATGTAGGACCCGGCCAACCTGCAGTTTCAGATTTCAGAGCCAGCTTGCCGGGGAGACTTGCCCTCGGTTTTCAGTCAGTGCTGGAGCAGGGAGAGAGCCCACACCAGAGTCTTGCTGGGGAGCTGGGGAAATTCTCCCTCCCGGGGCTCTCTCCCTGTCTCCTTCCTTCTCACGCATGAGGGCTGCATCGGCCACCCTGGGCAGTGTTTTTGCAACCAGGAGTTTTGCTTCTTTGCTTCCTGGTCAGCGTCTGCCATCTCCTAATTGGGTTCTGACTTTCAGCATGAAAGGTAAAATCAGGGTTCCTGGGAATCTCGGCTGGAAAGAACTGGGCTACCCAAACCTGTGGGGAGGACCAGGGAGAAAGATGCATGTGCTGGACACAGAGGAGTATGTCCTAGCAAGGGATGAGACAGAGAAAGAGGGAGAGAGACTGTGTGTGTGTGTGTGTGTGTGTGTGTTGCATGCATGTGCAGGTCTGGGGCATGCCCTTTCGTAGTTGGGATGCAAATCACCTTTTCCTCTTTCCTTTCATTCTTGTTTCTCTCCTTACAAATAAGAATATCCCATAAATGTCCATCTTCCTGGGGTTTCCAACAAGAAGTTAGTGAACATTTTTAATTTTTGGAATAGAAGGTGAATATTTTCTCACTTGACGCCAGGGGTTGCAGAGAGAATTTAGAGACGATGTTCACACTGGAGATGCATAACCTGGAGTCAGCCCTGGGTTTTTATTTTATTTATTTATTTAAGTACCTGGGATTGAACTCAGGGGTGATCGACCACTGAACCACATCCCCAGCCCTATTTTGTATTTTGTTTAGAGACAGGGTCTCACTGAGTTGCTTAGTGCCTCACTGTTGCTGAGGCTGGCTTTGAACTTGCAATCCTCCTGCCTCAGCCTCCAGAGCTGCTGGGATCACAGGTGTGCACCACCACCGCTAACTGTGACCCATATGATTCCAGCCTGGGCTCCGTGTGCAGTTAGGCTGAACCAGCCTAAGAATTCTGAGCTCCCAGACCAGCGCCAGGAGCACTTTCTTCTGCCTCAGAATGGGACAGGAAGGAGGCCAATGCCTTGGATGGGTGGGGCTGGCATTCAGCCTGAAAACAAATTTGGGTGGGGAGGTGATTGGTGGGTGGTGGGTGAGGCTGGCTGAATGCGGCTCTGTCTTCTCTGTTCATTTCCTGTGTTATCAGTTGCAAGGAGCAGAGATCAGAGAACTACCTTGTTCAGGGGGTTGGTGGGCGGGCAGCCTGGCCTAGCTGCCAAGACCCATTTGAGCAGTGGCTGGCCCTGTGGCAGCACATGCTGTGGGGCTGGATCCAGCAAGAGAGGTGGGTGGGCCGGGATGAATGGGACTCAGCAAGAGGCTGGAGGTGGTTTTTATAAAGCAGATTGGGGTGGGGAGATATGCTTTGGTCAAGGAGCCTCCTGGAGAGAGCTGGAGGCAGAAACCTAGGGTGGTTATAAAGGAAATAAGGAGTGGGGGCTGGGGAGCTCTAAACTCTGATGCATTCCAGACTTGCAGCCCATCCAGAGATCTCAACTCTGCAGAGAGATAATCTGGGATAGATGAGAAAACCAAGGTTCGCCTACTCACTTCTGAATATAATGAGATGATGTGAGCTGGGCACCATGCAGTAAAAACATATTTTGAACACCCAAAATCAGACGGTGCAGTTGAATTTGGGAGGCAATCACATTGCTGTTTGTTAGACAACATAATTAATAGTTTGTACAGTTATTTTTGAAACTTTGGGTATTTAAGAAAATTTTTAGATTTATATCGCTAGCTACTTCCAAATAGAATTTGCAGCATTAATGTATGTTTGGTAGATGGTGCTGTGCGTGATTTTGAACAACAGATAGTCATAACCATCTTTTGTTTGATTGCATTGTTCTTCTTTGCTCAGAAGCAGAGCGGTTTGGTTTTGTATTTCCACTGTCAGTCAAGTACAAATCAGCAGGTGCCCCTGCAAGGTCCCAGGGAGCATTTGGAGCTGCTTCTGCCCCCTAGGATCGCCCAGACTAACTGCAGTCCTGTAAGGAAGTCAGAGAAGTTTGTCCCTACAGTACAGATAAGGAAACAGAAATCAAAAGATGCTGCTGAGATTAGAGGTTGGATCTTAATTCTAACTCTTGCCAGAGGTTAGTCACAGAAGGGCAAGGGTTAGAATTAAGATCCAATCCTAACCCAGTGTGCCACACTGTGTACCTGGAGTACTTCCCCCTGCCCCATGACAGAGTCCTTCTTATATGTATGTCCCTGTACCTGTTCATCCACCATACTTTCCACAGCAGGGTAATGAGAAGGAAGCCATAATCTGTGAAAGGCAGAATGGAAAAACTGCTCCCTGGGATGGATTCTGTCTTCTATGGGCCGTGAATTGTGCAATTAAATAACATCAGTGGTTTCATGCTTATGTTATATTGCTGGTTTGATGGTCTGTGCCACTCACCATAAATTGACTTTTTTTCTTGGATTTTTTCCCCCCCAGTGCTGGGGATAGAACCCAGGGCCTCATGTGTACTAGGCAGGCCTCTACCCCTGAGTTACATCCCTAGTCCTCCAGTAATTCTTGGCTTGAGGCAAATTGCCTTCTTTTCTTTGAATTATGCATGCCTTCCTGAACAGGCCAAGGGGACGGTAAAATTCAGGGGCTCTCAGAAACTTGGGAGGTCCATTAGGGAGGAAGATGCTTGCCAAACACGAACACTTGATTTATACAATAATCAACATGCATTCGTGCTTTATAATTGGCAGAGTGTCTTCACATAAGCAAAGATAGCATGCCTGTCCCCTCTCTTCCACGCATGTCCAATTGGGAAGGTCTAAGTCTCCAAGGATTAGGAGTTTTCTTTTAGTTCTTAGGCTCGAGCCAAAACTGACATAGAGTTCGTCTAGCCTACTGATTCCCAAATTATGGTCCATGGCAGAGTTTACCCCAGTCTGAGGCATTGTGAGAAAAGCAGAGGAAATGTACTCAATTTTTAATTTATTTATTTTTTCCAGAAAGCAAGATGTATTCAGTTAAAATGTATTTTTGTGTGGATAGGAGATGAGCTAAAATATTTTGAGGTTACAGCGTTCTGATTCTTTTCATGAACCGATGGTGAGAATAGATGGTAGCTGGGCTTTTAAAATGTCCTTATTTGGCAAAATAAAAAGTTGGCAACCTTCTATTGGTTCCTCAAATTTCATTTTTTTTTTTTTTGAAATTTTACTGGTCCATGAAATCCAAAAATTTTTGCCTCCAGGATCTTCTCCAAATAGACTCCCCGATAAGGCCTCTTTGGAGCAGATTCCTGAAAATTTGAAATCTGATCTTGCTACCATCACTCTTTCTCTGTGGGTCCTTTGAACATGATGAGTCTTGGCTCCTACATTCTGAATCTGTAAGAAGCTCCTATCTCTGGCACAAGGCCACCAGCAAAGGGATGTGCCCTGGCTTCCTCTTCCCCTGTGTTCTGAATGACAGGCAGCAGACCTTCCTTTCTCCGAGGGGCTGTGGACTGGGCCTTGCCAGTTCCTATTCCCACACTCATCTTCTAGAATTGTTGGAAGTCATCTTCCTTGTGTCCTTGGAAAAGATAGAAGGGGATGCGTGGGCTGTGTTTTGGGAACAGCACAAGATGTATTTTACATTTATTTGGGTCCTTTGTGTCTAGTGTCAATCATTCAGAAACAAGGTGGTCTAGAGACAAGGCCATTAAAAAAAAAATCTCAGTGTCAGGTTTTGAAGTGGTGGGTCTACTTGAGCTCTTGAGTCTAGACTGGAGATTTTCCAACTCTGTACTTTTGGAGACATCAGAGTGTCTACCTTTGAGGAGTTAGGCCTGGAATTGTAACAAACATGTGGGATTCCCCAGGCAGATCCCCAGCTGCCAGGACCTGAGATTGGTGTGCACATGTGTGCAGACTTGTATGAGTGAAAGCTCTCAGGGAAAAACTAGTTTCAAACCACTTTGGAAACTGGACTAGAGGCTCTCTCTCTCTTTTTTTTTTTTTTTTTTTTTGAGGTTCATCCCAAGGCCCTTTTTTAGAAACACAGGAACTTCTTTGTGGGAGAGAATTTTCTAATTTTCCCACCCCATTTTTTTCATGTTCTGAAACATGAAAGCAGTCAATTTCCTAAATTAGGAAGGCTGTTAAATTTGGGGCATGGGGTGGGGCAGAGAGAAGTAGGATAAGCTAGTAAGGGGAACATCAGGTTCTAATCTGGGAGACCAAGCCAAGGTGCCTGAGATTTCTCCCTGCCACAAGGTTTCTGGTTGGTGCTGGGTCAACCCAGGGGCCTGGCGCTTAGCACCGTGGCACAGACTGAACCTCTGACAGATGATGGATGCCACAGACCTGTGCGTATGAACGGAGGGGGACCCAAATGAAAAAGGATCCAGGAAGTGTATGTTGAAGTTCTCTGCACTTTCCAGGCATGCTGGAATCCTACCACTATTGGGGGGTGTGGTGGTGGGGGTGGCGCTGCAAGGTTTGAGGCAGGAAGAGGGCAAGGTAGAAGCTGGTTTGGGCAACTTAGGGAGACCCTGTCTCAAAATTTTAAAAAGTCTGGATGTAGCTCAGTGGTAGAGCACTCGCCTAATGTGTGCCAGCCCCTGGGTTCAATCTCAATTACTGAAAGGAAAAAAAAAAAGCATCTTTTCTGAGATGCTCAAGCCAGGAGGGTAGAAGGTATTAACCGTCCAGCATGGCTTCTTCTGAATGCAAAGGTCAAGGACATGACATGGACCTTTTATTTGGTTTGGTTTGTTTAGGGACTGGTGATTGAACCTGGGGGCACATAGCCACTGAGCCATATCCCCAGCCATTTGTGTTTTTGAGACAGGGTCTTTTTAAGATACTGTAGCTGGCTTTGAACTCAGGATCATCCTGCCTCAGCCTCCCGAGCTGCTGGGATTACAGGTGTGTGCCACCACGCCTGGCATGACTGGGACCTGTAAAGACATCCTGGGTTTATCATGGGTAGGCCATAGAAATCCATATCGCCACTCCTGGGCCACCTTTGTCTCTAACTTGCTTTGCGGTCTTGGGCAACTCCGTCCATATCTTCTGGCCTCAGATGCTTCGTCTGTGAGATGAGGGAATTGAATTGAATTGCCACCAGTCTGACGTTTAACTCTGCCTGCTTCAGTGCTCCACTTGACAGTGGGGACTCCCTAAGAACATAGGGTAGACTTGGCCATTCCGAGAGAAGAGCGTCCCGTACCTCAGCCAGCACTGCAAGCCTCCCGCAGTTTGATTGCTTAAGGTGGCACCTGGCTGGGTATCTGGCAGATCCAGGGTCAGAACTGAGAAGCCCACTTAGGTGACGGTGCCTCAGAGAAGGTTGAGTCATACAGTGACCCACCAGTTCCTACCAGGTCTGGCTAGAGCCGAGAGATCTGAGGAATGGAATTGCCCAAGGTTGTTCACTGTTCTTGACCAGAACTGGTTTCTCATTTTAAAAGCCTCCCGGGGCCATGAGATGGCATCAGGAGAAACATGCCAAACCTGTTCCACTGTATGTTGCATGTGTCTGTCCCCCCCTCACCTTCGGAGTCCCATCTTCGTTGTCACCCTCACACTCAGAAGCTTTTCCTTCCTTCGTCCAGGTGCCTGCAAACCCAGGTCCCCCTTCTCATGGTGTGTCCTTGGCTGGGTCAGGTATGCCCCTGGGGGGCCTCTAGGGAACAGGTGATGCAGATGAGCTGTGGGGTGGTAGTGCAGAGAGGGCTGGAAGCCCAGTGAGGTGGGGAGTCGGGAGGCATGTTTGGAATCCCGAGGCATGTCTATACCTGAAGTCCAACCAAATAATAACAACACACTGCCTCTACCAGTCTGCTCGGCGTAGAAGAGCAGCAGGGTTTTATGGGCCGGTCTTTGGATCGTCTCCCCTGCCCCATACCAACTTGCGTTCCAGGGAGCCAGCTCCGGGCTGCAGGAACCCAGAGATCCTCTCCAGGTTGGAGGTGAGGCAAGGGGCTTTGAGTGGCTGTCATGAGTGTCAGTATCTTTAGCTTAAATCACTCTGGCGACTGTCCTGAAATCCTGTGTTTGGGGACTAATCCGTGGTTATAGAGCCCTACACTTCATTATTGGAATCTTGCAGGGCCTGTGGAGCTTAGCTCAGTCCATGGAACATACTGTGTATTACATAAAGCCTCCAGCAGGCACTGAGCAGCTCCACATCAGACATTTTAATAATGCTGCAGCGAGACTTATCTAAAGAGTCACGTAAGTGGGATACATAAAGAGTCTCATACCAGGTCGGGTCATGTTCTGCTGCCAGATAGGTTCAAGTCTGGTTGGGTTTTGCTACCAGTTGAGTTAGGAAAAACAAAACAAAACAAAAAAACACTTTGTTTTTAGCTGTCTGTGGATTTTGGAATGCTATGAAAGCACTGTGGTTCCGTGTTGCCTCCTATAATCTTAAAAGGTTGGAATTATCTTCCCATTTTACAGATGAGGAAGCTGGGGCTCAGGGGATCAGGGACTTGCCTAATGCCCTTCAGCTGGCAAGTGGCCAAGCTGTGATTCCAGGTCTGTCTGTCTGTCTGTAGACTTTTTCCTCAGGGTAGGGATCTTGCCCCCTTGGGAAGGAGCAAAGAAACATTCAGGGTGGGGCCGGGGAGCTCCGAATCTGGCGTCTTCTCTGGCGGGAGGCACTTTCTGCACATTTGAAAGGGATCATTTATTGACTCATTCTTATTTATACATTGACTGCTGGGACCTCAGTAGGCTAAAAAGCTCCGAAGAGAGGAAGCTAAAGTTCAGTCAACTTTGTGGCTTTACAAGAAGAATCCAGCTGGCTTTGTGGGGGCTGAGAGAGCCAAGAACAAATGGGGTCAAGTTGGGTTGAGTGAGGGAATCATCATCCACAGTGGAGGGGGCCCCTGTGCAGAGCTAATGGAATGCTCCGTGCTTCCTGCCTCCCCACCGGCTCCTGGCTGCACAAGTCTCATACAGAGTACAGAGCATCTGGAGAGAGGGCCCAAGCGCTAGGACCATAATCCCCAGATAAGGATGAGAGTGATGTGCAGCTTGGGATAGGGAGAATTCAATTAGGGGGTCTCACTGGTCTTCATTAGTGATGTGAAAAGACGTCAGAGGAAGTGCTAATTCAATCTGCCGAACATAACACTTCATTGGAAAGATGGACATGGGCCTGCTGCATGGGCAATGCTATAGATGACCTCCCTCTCCTACCTTCTGGATGCTGTCGGATAGCCTCTGCCATCTCTGGCTCATGCCTAGGTCAGGTCAGATTTGGACCCTCCCTAGGCAGGCACACACGAGTCCACGTGCTTCTCTGCAGAGAGGAGCCTGTTGTTGGTGAACTCTAAGCAGCAGAAGTGCCAGCTGGTCTGGAGGAGAGTGGCCTGTGCTGTGTCCTTCATTAGGAAGATACCCACTAGGAGAGATGGTAGCTTAGTTGCCATAGGAACAAGGAACATCTGCTCCAGCCAATTAGAGAACAGATGGGGGGTTGGGGCGGAAGTCTTCTTAAAGGGACCATGGATGCCAGGGACATAGACTTTCTTAAAGAACACTTGAGGGGCAGACTGGACCCATCGGCCTATGAGAATTGTGGGGTTCTGAAACAGCAGAGGACCCAGGTACTTTAGAAAGTACTGGAAAGAATGTACGACTTTCTTCTCAGTGATGGCTGTCCATTGTTGGGAATACGCTTCAAAGCTGTGTCCACTTGCTAGCCACCAGCTCGGCCTTCCCTGAGTCCTTCAGCCGGCAGCAGTCAATGGCTTACTACACACACCTGGGGATCTTGGGGCCAACCCGCGTCTCCTGTTGCCAGCTCCCTCTCACTCGTGCACACCTGGAGCTTCTCATTGCTGTGGTAGTGGGCTTGCCTGCTTTCTCTCAACCCTTCCCCTGTCCTTGTCCTCCCAGATGGCTTGGCCCATAGGGAAACCAAGACCTCCCAGAATTCCTAGTCCTGTCCCTTCCTCCTCCCATTTGCCTCATTTCTCCCTCATATGGACTGTGGATGGCAAGTCGAGGTGAGATGCTGGGTCCTCAGGAAGTCACCTGATCCCTTCCCTGGTATTGGTGGGGAGACTTCTGGGTCCAAGTTAAGAAACCACTCAAAACAGCTCAAGTCCCAGTGGAGGTTTAATATGAGGGCACTGGCGTGTTTCTCAGAGCTCAGGGACGGAGACATGGCTGGACCACAGGAACGAATTGGAACCAAGAAGCCGTATGCCAAGGCGTGACCTTGGTTCCTCTTCGTGGACTGGCTCCCTCCTTTTGCGGGTTGCAGAGAGGACTTTCAGCTTCCTGGTCGGCCCACAGGGTGGGAGAGACGGGAGGCTGTTTCCCTTGTGTCCAGGTTGACCAGTGGGGTCACCTGATCTCTCTTCTCTCTCAATCCTGGTTCTCATCTTGGGGGAGAGATTTTGGCTGAGCTGAGATCACAGGGTGTACCGGATAACCAAGAGAATGGCACAAGTGGTAACCAAGACAGTCCAAAGTTTTGGGAATGTGGCTATTTCCATGGTAACTGTGGATGTGGGGGTGGGGGCAATTTCTAGAAAGGGGCATACATGAGTTTGGCTTGGAGAGTTTACACCCCTGGCCTCTCATGCTCAGCTCTTTTGCTGTCTGATGATGACCACTGACAAGGTCTGGTAGATAGCATGGCAGTGTGACTGAAGGAGCCAAGATATGGTTATGTCACTGCCATTCCCCATGGGCAGAGCCTGGACCAGTGGCCGTTCTACCTGTTACCCTATCCACCGGTAAAATGCTATTGTTTTATTTAAGTCCTTCGTAGCAGATTCAGACACCAGGGATTCAACGTCCAATCACTTCACATTTGGAAAGCTCATCACCGATTCTAAATGCAGTCCTTCATAATGTAATTGAATCCGTCTATGGTCTCTCATTCCATCTTGGGCTTAGAGGAGGATTGAGGCCCCCATCTTTTAGATGGACCAAATTAATGAAGATAGAATTATTTCTGCATGACGGGAGGCTGAAGCAGGAGCATCTCACTAAGTCTTGATACTTAGTGAGACTCTCAGCCACTTAGTAAGACCCTGTTTCCAAAAAAAAAGGCTGGAGATGTAGCTCAGTGGCAAAGCAGCCCTGGGTTAAATCCCTGGTAACTACCCCCCCAAAAAAAGATATTATTTCTTCATGAGAAGACAAGAGTTTAAGTGTAGGGGATATGGAATTTGGCACCTTTCTGGATGGCTGCTACCTTTCATCCAAAGAAACCCCAGAGAAGAGAAAAGACAAGCCTCTGACTGCATACAGAAATGGCAGAGAGCGCTCTTCTAGATTTCTCTTTCCCATGCTCCACAAACCCAATCAAGTTTGGACCATAAGAAAGGTGTGGAGGTTCAGGGAGGTCAGGGGGCTGGGGAGATACGAGGTATAGGAAGAAGAAGACAGGGCCAAGGTGCCATCGTCCCTCCCTTACCTACACTAATGGAGCTTGGGGGGGCTGGGTAACCCAGATAGGCAAAGAGCCCCAAGTCCTTTTTGATCTTTGACAATGAACAGCTCACAATTAGCAATGTGGAGGGGGATGGATTTCACTTCCCGTGTTTCTGGTGTCCCACAGCTTGGGAGACTGAGATGATGATGACCATTAACTGTCACAGCATTGTTTCTGTGTGTACGAAGTCATTGAATTCTCACGACAAATCCCAAGAGGTACAAGGTTACAGCTAAGAAACTGAGGCCTAGAGAGTTTGAGTAAGTTGTCCAAAGCCCCAGTGCTCCCAAGGAGCTGAGCAGGATGCAAATTTAGCATGCAGATTCTTCCTCCTCTCCCTTCTGATGAGGAAGTCAAACAGTTCTATCCCAGGTGAGCTGGAAGGAGGCCCCAGTGAATGGAGCTTCTCCAGGGGAGGGCTCTTGTCCTCTGTAGCTGTGCTGAGCTCAAATGGCCGTAGTAGAATTTCTTGACCGAAAGAGGAAAGTTAGAGGTGGATGAGGATTAATTTTTATTCTGAGATTTTTGTCTTTCTTTTAAAAAAATTTTTTTTTAGTTATAGATGGACACCATACCTTTATTTTATTTGTTTATTTTTATGTGTTGCGGGGGATCACACCCAGTGCCTCATGCAGACTAGGCAAGTGCTCTGTCACTGAGCCACAACCCCGTCCCTGAGATTTTTTCAACAAGAGAAAAACAATTCACATTTAGATGAAGCATGTTTTCTGCTACCAGAAGTTTAAATGGCACATCACAGACAAATGTTGTTAGAGCCAGGAGATTTTTTTTTTTTTTAGGAAGAAGGATGCATTAGTCAGTCGGTGACTTCCTCCATCGGAATCTATCTATATCTCTACCCTGCCGATTCTTTTAACTTCTCTCTCAGTGGAGCTGGTGGCTGGGAGGGAGGGATGTGGAGGTGTCTCTGTGGGTGGTGAGAACCATATGCCTACCCGACCCCACCTTCCTGGGGTCACATAGGAGAAGCTCCCATGATGCTCTGCTTCTCTTGCTTCCTGTCCTCTTCCATATTCACTCCCTAAATCTCTCACCTCCACCTTCCACGTGTGCAGATGTGGAACAGCAGTCCCGGGGCTGGAGGAGCAGGCAGAAGGCAGGCCCCAGGCCCTGCTTGGCTGTGCTCCTAGGGCTGTGTGGGAGGGCGCCGCAGAACTACCTTCCTCCCATCTCGCCTGACTTCCCTGGAGCCAGTGAGGTGGGGGAGTCTCTGAGCAGAGCAGCAGGAGGGCCTGGAGAGGCCCAGGAGCTAGACTATTTCTGTAACACAGACACATCTGCAGCCAGCCACAGAGAAGGTCAATCTCTGGGCGCAGGGCTGGAATGCACGGGCTGGGCAGTGGGGAGAGCTGTGGTTTCCCCTTTCTGGCAGCCTGGAGGGCTTTGCTGTGTGTGCCCTTTGGGGAAGGTGGGGCTGATTGTAGCCAAACCTGTGGACCAGGGAGATGGCCAGGATGCAGTACACTGGAGAGGGTGGGATGGACACCCATGGCACCGAGGGGCACAGGAACTGAATTCAAGGTGTGGGAGTTCCAGCTCATGCTCTGTGCCATTTAAAAAATAATAATAATAATCAGGTCAGGCAGAGCACTGAGTGAGAGGAGAGAGAAATAGCTTTGGAAAGAGACTGGGAGGCTCACGGAGACACACGTGTGCAGGCGTGGGCCAGTGGTCACTCATGCACGCGGGGCAGGCTGTAAGTTGACGTGAAGTAACGTGGCTTCTCATTGAGGTCCCTCACCGGCACTGGCCCTTTCCAAGGTTCTGACACATAAATTCGTGTTTGTAGTTTCTTTCTTAATAAGGACCCCATATTGTGTAAGGGTTAGGCCTCACAACGCCTGGCTCTACTCCTGCATCCTTGGGCTCCAACAGACACGCAACCACCCCTCCCGGCCTCACGCTGCCTCCTCCTAGCCCTGTCCCCTGCTCACATTCGTCCTGGAGTGACTGTGCTTCCCTCTTGTCCCCACATGTGCACACATGTGGTTTGGGGCTTCTTGAGTGTCTGTTTATAGTTAGGAAATCGCCCTGCTCCTCCTCTGCCTCTGTCACAGAGGGAACATTGGAGGGAAGTCTGACTGCTGCGTGACCTCTGGCCACCCTGCCCATCCCCTTCCGCCCTCTAGGCACACGATCCCCGAATTTACTCTCAGGCTGTGGATCCTCCCAGCCCAATCTAACCCTCTCAGACAGGGTTTCAAGTGGGCAGTTGGCCTTTAGAGAGAGGCTTTTCCAGAAGAACCCAGAGCTCCCAGGTCCTGGGGGCTTCTTTTGTGCTCTCACATACTCTAGGGGCCACTCGATTCCCTCCCTTGTGTCTAGTGGGCCCCCAGGGAACAAGAACTTGTCCACATGATCGAGCTGCATAGGTCACAGCAAGAGCACTAGAACTTGAGATTCTTCGTGC